ATCAGAATGTATTTATTATTGATAGCTTAGAAAAATTTGATTCACAATTTTAAGTAAATTGTAAAATTTAAGGTTGTTGCAAATTTGGGAAAAATCTTTACTAAGTTCCCTTGACATGTGAAGTACACTCTTCCACATCTGTGTCAATATCCTAGGGAGCTCATATCTAGATGACTGTTTTTTAGTGTAAATAATATTACATAAGGCAATACTAGACTGGTCGGAATATTCCTTGAAGTCATTCAAGGAATGACCCAGCTATTAATAACAATGATCAGATCATAAGTGAAAGTGATTGCAAACTACATATATCCTGAGAAATTTAAACTAAATATAGCCCCAACTTAATTTCCCTCTTGTTACCCAGGATAACATTAACCAGATTAAGTGTGTTGGAAAGGCAAAGACAGTAAGCTTAACTATTTGTAGTTAGCTAATATTTGTAAATTTTATGAAAACATGACCATAGAAATACTCCTTCCAGCACCTTGGAAGAACCCCCGTTATTCAGGATCCCTGAAATTTAAACTTAGTATCATAGTAAATCTATTTCTACAGCTTTGTATTGAAATTTTGCACTTGACTAATTCCATTTGTTTAGTGTGCCAAAGTTTGTTTGAAGCACATATAGAATATTTACTATGCTACTTGTATCTGTTGTGACGGGGCCTACTTAAGTAAATTGAGAACATAAACTTAAATGTTTGCCTCTACCTTACCTTTTTATTATTCTGGAGTCCTTTGTCAGTTTTGCTTATAAATGCTTATTTGAAGATCTGTTCTAACTTAGGTCTTGGGCTAAAGTTGTGTGGAGGCGTAGATGACTTAGAAACATTCCTTGTCTTTGAGAAGCTACGATGCATTGTAAAATAGAGACATGTCATAGTGAAATGTGTGAAGATAGATCAGACATCCTTAACCCAGCTTAGACTATCAGAGAAGGTTCCTAAGAAGAATAATCAGAGTTAGTTCTCTAGATGACTGGACCTTTGATAAAGAGAAAATTCAGTTAAAATGGTATGAAATTTGTGGCAACATGAACGGACCTTGAAAAGATAATAAGTCAGAAGGAGAAAGACAAATACTGGAGTGTGACGGATGTGGAATATAAAGTAACTAAATTAATAGTCAGGTAAAGGAAAGCTTAAAAACTAACCCTTGAAAGCTGACTACAGAACTGAGACACCAAGGAGGAAAGGAATTAGGGAGGGGAAAGCACAAAGAGAAGGAAAACACAGTGGTCTATGGTGGTGGACTGTGTGTGACTTGGTGGTGGGTGCACTCTTTTAAAATTTAGAAAAATATAGTAAAATTGATCATCGATAAATAATGAAAAGGCAAAGGGGGAAAAATGGTATAAGGACATGTCCGGTAGGCTCCATCTGATTCTAACTTTTTCCCCTCTAGTCAGTCTACTTTACTGTAAGATTTTAATTTCAAAACACTTAGAACTCAAAACTGCTATGTCACTGATTCCATTGAATAACTATTGTGTTACTACTTAATATTTATAGGCAGATGTTGTACTGTAAGAATTGTAGGTGAATCTTTGACCTGGTGTTAATTTGAGATCCGTATCTGATGTAAAGATTATTCCACTACTGCCAAGGCTGCAGATTCCATCTTTTATTGAACCCTTTATAGTAGTCCATGGGTTTGGAATAAATGCAGGGGAAATTCTGCCCTTTTGCTTTGGGGGAAAAAGTAATTCATTTACTGCAAGGAGGTATGTGCTAGTTATTAAGGTATGGTTACTTTAAAGGGTGGGATGAAACTGCAGCTATTTACATATTAAAAATAAAATAAATAAATAAAAACTACTTTCTCCATTCCTGTTCCCTCCCCAATGGGAAGAGTAAGTTTACTTAGAATTGTTGAGATGTGTTGCTTTGATTGACCTTTTTTTTTTTTTTTTTTTAGCTAAAAGTTAAGTAGGGTAAATATATAAGGACCTAATATTGAAAATGAAATTTTGAAAATTCCCCCACTCCATCTCTTATATCTCTTGCTGTGTTACAATCTTTTGGATTTGTTGGGTTGAAAAAGATGCTAGATCACTCCTTTTCTTAAAATTGGGGACAACAGCTCCTTACAGTAAAAATATTTTTCTCCCCTTTCAATATTATTATTATTTTAAAGATTTATTTAGGCATACAAGAACTGGGGTACTGGATAAAGGCATGGGGGGGGGGTTTGAGAGGATCACCAGAGACAGAGTGGGAGCAGAACAGGCAGATCTACTGAAATATACTGCTCAGGGGAGCAGCAGGAAGACAAGAGAGGTCTACTGGGGCATGTGGGTTAAGCTCCCTGGCCAGGGATTGAACTCATGCTGCAATGGCTGGGGATAGCTTCATCGTGCTTTCTATAACCCATTGTGCACCAGCGGGGGCTAATATCATTATTTTTGATAGCAAGTATTTTATTTATTATCTCAGGTCTTGTGTTAGGAACTGGAGACTTAAGGAAGACTATGGCATAATCCATATTCTTGAGTAAATCACAATTTAGTAAGAGGAAAAAAAAAAAACTAAAAAGGAGGAAATGTTTTAAGTTGACCTTTTATGGTAGTGGCATGGCAGGATTGTTATGGTTGGATTTGTCTCCTCAAATTCATATGTGGATGTCCTAATGCCCAATTTGATGGTAAGAAGTCAGATTTTTGGGAGGTAATTATGTAATGAGGATTCCACACTCATGATTGGGGTCAGTGCCTATATAATAAAAGCTCCCTTGCCTCTTCTACCATGTAGGGGCACAATGAAAGTTAGCAGTCTGCAACTTAGAAGAAATCCTTGTTCAATACCAAACAGTGTGAGCACCTTGATATTGGTCTTCCAATTTCAAAAGCTGTGAGAAATAATACTTTGTTGTTTATAAATCATCAATTTATGATATTTTGTTATAGCAATCTGAATGCATAAGGCGGGGGTAGAATAAGAATTGGTGTATGTTTGTGTATTTGTATGTGCGAATTTGTGTGTACGGGCGGATTTGTGTATATGTGCAGATTTGTGTGTATGTGCATATACAAATAATTCATTCACTGTTTTCAGGCTGTCAGTTCCTATACTGAGCAATTGCATGCAGTAGCTACCTTAAAACTAAGGTGCTTTATTTTTTAAATCTAAGGTGCCTTAACTGTATTCACTCATTTGTCATAGTGGCCCTACCATTATGCAGGGTGGCATGGTCCCCATTTTTTGGGGTGTTATAAGCTTAGGGAAGTTGTATAGCTTTTGTTCAAAATTTCATAGCTATTAAGTTACAAAGACAGGATCAGAAACTGGTTCTTTAAATCCTTCCCCCCTTCCTCTGTTATATGTCAGACATCATAGTAGGCTGTGAAATTACAGAAAAGAAAGGATAGAGTTTCTTCTCTTGAGCCATATTAAAAGAGAACAAATATATACTTAGGATGTTACAGGTGCTTTAAACAATGAGACACAAGACAGTATGAACCAGTAGTACATAGAAGGTTATGAAAAAGTTTAATTCCTCAGATGTTTCTTGGTTGAAATGTGGTTATATATGAAGTTAATGCCAACTTAGTTGTTAGGTTGATGTTTATTCTGAGCTCTACATATGCAGTGTTTTACTTTCTTCCTCTTTAATAGTTCAGCATGTTGTATAGCATTCTGAAAATGGAGTTAGTGCTGTTGCATGGAAATTGCCCAGTCTTTTACCTTGGACACTTACTAAAATCTGTTTTTCTTTCTCCTGAAATCTGTTTTATGTACTTATTTACTGACTAGAATAATGAATTTAGTGCTGAGCAAAGGAAATTGTTGCCTATATATGAAGCTGAGAGGATGATGTAAGATGAGCCATTAAGGTTTAGTATTTTCATCCACAACTGAAATATGCCTAAAATAACTTAACAGATATAGAGACTAATTAATTACTTGTCAAACCATCCTGTTTCACTCTAGAAATCGATTTGCTTTCAAATATGAGTGAAATGGCTGGAGGATTCTTGATGAATGTTTATTTGATAAGAATAGATCTCTGGGTAATGTTAGGAATTATCAGTACAGCACCCCTTCTATGTAATACATCAATTCACATTCTAATCATAAAGCTTTAAATTCTCGTACAGCTAGGCCTCCCTGGTGGCTCAGGGTTTAAGTCTCAGTGCTATCAAGTTATCACCAGACACTGCAGTACCAGTTTGATCCTTCGCCAGGGAACTGACCCACATGGTGCAGCAGACCTTTCCTGTCTCGCCCTGCTGCTCCCCTCAGCATATTTCAGTAGATTTACTTGTCTGTTTCCTATGTTTCTGGTGAATTCTTTCACATCCCACACCTCTGGCGTATACTCCAGTTCTTATATGCATAAATAAATAAAATAAATCCTAATAAATACAAGCTATAATTCTAAATTGTTAATTAGTTGTGAAGAACTGTATTAATTAAAGCTAGAAGTTTGTTTTCTATTTGGGAGTTGCAATAGGTTATGTATAGAGTTTGTAGGAGTTTTGTATATCAAACACAGTAGTGACAACAATTATATTCCTGCCATTTAATGTAGCAAATACTATTTAGCTCTAATGTTGATGGGGCTAAGGTATAAGTGCTGTTTATTTTTTTATTTTATTTTAAAGATTTATTTTATTTGTACATACAGAACTGGGGTAAAGGCCAGAGGCTCAGGGGTGGTGAGAGGCTTCACCAGAGACAGTGGGGAGCAGAACAGGTAGATTGATGAAGTACACTGCTGAGGGGAGCAGCAGGCGGGTCAGGAGAGGTCTGCCACGCCATGTGGTCACCTTCGAGGCAGACGGGAATTGAACTCATGCGGAAGTGGCTTTAGCTACTCAGTGCAGTGCTTTAACCCACTGCGCCACCATGGAGGGCCTGTGCTGTTTATTTTTATGGACATCTAAGATCATATCTTTGTCTTCTTCAGTAATATAGTAGGTTTTATTGAAATCATGTCTGAAAAAAGAAAATCATGTGGTAGATATTGAAGTATACTTTATTTTTCATTTTTCATAGTGGTAGTCGGTCCTCTAAAACATTTAAACCAAAGAAGAATATTCCAGAGGGTTCTCACCAATATGAGCTGTTAAAGCATGCAGAAGCCACACTTGGCAGTGGCAACCTTCGGATGGCTGTCATGCTTCCTGAGGGGGAAGATCTAAATGAGTGGGTTGCAGTGAACAGTAAGTAGCCTTTCTTTCTCAGTAGATTCTGAATTAGGTTAGTAGCCACATTATAGGTGCATGTTGGAGTGTTCTCCAGAGCCTAATTAGAACCTAATAGTATAGTGAAGCCTGTATGTTATTTTGTTTCTATATATGGAATTTTATGAAAGTCTTGTCTCCTGTTATAATGTATTATAAATACAAAGCATAGATTTATCATCATCAGTGGGAAAAAAAATAAAAGCAATTAATATTTATAGAGTACTAATTATGTGCCAGACACTACTACCCTTTTTAAATGGGTTACTTTGTTTCATCTTTGTAACCTCATAATGTTGGTCCTATTGTTATCCCATTTTAATAAAAAGGAAACCAAGACAGACAGAAAGATTAGTAACTTACATTGCTCCTACAGATATTAAATGGCAGAGCCTGGGCTCAAATACAGAGCTACAGAATTTCCGATACACACTTTAACCATTACACTAAATTTCTACTTTGAGTAGCATGTTGAGTTATTTGTCTTAATTTTGTTTTTAAATAAAAAAAGACAGTTCTTAATCATGATTTTATGAAATTAGTAAAATATATTTAAGAGATTCTTCTATCGCCTATGAATAAAAGAAATATAGTTTTTAAAATTAAATACATTTTTGAGAATTAAACCAGGGAAAGTTGGGGGGAAAAACCAGTATTTTTAATATTAGTGTTGTAAACACCAGCAAAACAATTAATAGGAATTTTTTTTTTTTTAAAGATTTATTTATTTATTCATACAGAACTGGGGTACAGGCCAGAGATGCGGAGGGTGAGAGGATTCACCAGAGACAGAGTGGGGAGCAGAACAGGCAGATCGATGAAGTACACTGCTGAGGGGAGCAGCGGGCGGGTCAGGAGAGGTCTGCCACACCATGTGGTCACCTCCGGGGCAGGCGGGAATCGAACTCATGTGGAAGCGGCTTTAGATTCTCAGTGCTGTGCTTTAACCCGCTGCGCCACCAGGGAGGGCCGGAATTTTTAATTGGGAGATTTATATGAAGCTAGTAAAAAGAAAAGGAAATTTAATTGAAAGCATACATTAAATGTATATGCTTTGATTAAGAGAAAACAAAACAGTACTTTGCTTGTAATAACTGGTATTGTAATTTGAATTATATCATACTATTTATACGACTGATAACTTTTTAGGAAACTGAAGGATTTTATTGAAAACTTTACTGTAACAGTAGTTATTCTCCTGGACCAGGAATTTACTAACCAAAAAAGAAGTAATTTGTTTGCTTCATTGATGAGACCCATCTTATATATATGATAGCATGTGACACTTTAAAGACAGTAGTTAGAATAAACCTCCTATATATATATACTTCCTTGTTCTTTTGTATTTTTTTTGCTTTTTTGTACCATTTTTGAGTGCTCATTCACTAATTAAAAAATTTTATAAGGAAGGCAGCATAGATCTTCTGTACTACCAGAGATTCTGAATTAAAAGTATAAAAGGTATAAAAGGTGATATTATTTCTGTTTGTGTTGTGTCTCAGTTGCCAGATCTGAGGAGTGTCTGTAATCATGAAATTCCTAAAACTTAAGGAACTTCCAGAATGTCACTGGCATTTACCGTTACATCTGGAGAAAAATTACTTTGAGTTGAAGCATTAGAATATCTTCTCAGAATATATAACTCAACATTGAAAATACAACATTTGAAAATACATCCTTGGTGCCCTACGGGTTAAGTCTCAGCATTTCCACCCTATAGCCTGAGTTAGATCCCCAGCCTGGGAGCCAGCCCAAGTGTAGCAGACCTCTCCTGCCTTGCTGGCTGCTCCCCTCAGCATTGTATTTCAGTAGATCTGCCTATTCTGCTCCCCACTCTATCTCTGGTGAATCCTCTTACCCTCTGTATCCTTGGCTTACACCCCAGTTATTGTATGCAAAAATAAATAAATATAAAAAAAAAGCATCTCTAAGTATTCATAATAGACAATTACATCAAACACTTAAGGAATTACATCAGTCTTTTCATAAAGAGAATAGAAAAAACCACTACTTTTATAAGCTACAAATGAACATTACAAGAAAGAAAACCTAGGTCACCTAGGTTATGAAATTACATACAAATTTTAATAATTAGTAAATTTGATCTAACAATACTTAAAAGGCATGATATATGACCAAGTTGAGTTTCTTCCAGGAATACAAAGTTGATTTTACCATCTGGAAACTTTTCTGTGAAGTGCTGTTTTATATTTCTAAAGTATTCACTTTTTCTTATTAAGCTATAGAATGATTTATATATTTGGATATAAGATATTGGTTATATGTGTGGCAGACAGTTTTCTGTCTTTAGTTGCTTTTTGGCTTTGTTAATGGAGTCACTTAATAAATTTCTCATTAATACAGTCAAGTGGTTTCTGAATATGCTTGTAATGTATTTGTACAGAAAAGAACACTGATATCTAAGATTCACCTTAGGTAAAGTTAAAATTTAATTTTTATTCTAACCATTTTGTATTACTCATAACTGATAATTTGCGATAATTTGCTTTGTAGCTGTGGATTTCTTCAATCAGATCAACATGCTTTATGGAACGATTACAGATTTCTGTACAGAGGAAAGTTGTCCAGTGATGTCAGCAGGCCCAAAGTAAGATATGGTTCATGACTAGTTCTCAATTTTATTTTATTTTACAGTTCTAAAATGAGAAAATTTCTGATCACATAATTTTTCTACTTAGCATCTCTCAGAGATTTTTCCATGGATGCTGCATTAAGTGCAGTTTTCTTAGAGAGTTTTGTGATGGTCCCTATATTGTCCTTCATCTTTTCATTTCTCCCTTTGCTGTGTATCTCTCTATCCAAACTAGATTAATGGTAGTTAGTACCTTGGTAAATTTCTGTAGAAGGAAAAAAACCATTTAATCCCAGAGTAGTCTATTTGTAATAGATTTAAAGAGGCATTTAGAATTCATGCAAGCAGCACTTCAAAACAATTTGAAATGGAAATCTGTACCTCCCTGCCTCCAGGGTCTGCCCAGTTGAGAGACACTGCAGTTGTGGTCACAGCTCCCTACCTCCCCACACTGGACACTCCTGTCTGAGCTGCTCATGATCAAAGATGACAACAGTGACGAAGATAGATATTTATGCATTAGGTGGAGGCATCACTAAGGCTGCCAGTTCCTCTCAAACAGAAACTAAAGTGAAACTCAGAAGATGTTTGCATAAATAAATAAATACTTTTTTATTTATGCTTAAATGTTTATGTATATTATGACTAAATGTTTATTTATGCATACAAGTAAGAGTATTAATTTACTAATGTTCTGAAATTTCATTTTTTCTTTGTGATATTTTCTTCTCATCTCTTGATCCTATGGCTTCTGCTGATAGTTATAAAAAATGTTACCTTTATTCAAAACTCAATTGTAAATATGTATACTTTTTTTTTTTTAAAGATTTATTTATTCATACAGAACTGGGGTACAGGCCAGAGATGCGGAGGGTGAGAGGATTCACAGAGACAGAGTGGGGAGCAGAAAAGGCAGATCTACGAAGTACACTGCTGAGGGGAGCAGCGGGCGGGTCTGGAGAGGTCTGCCACACCATGTGGTTCTCCTCCAGGGCAGGCCGGGATAGAACTCATGCGGAAGTGGCTTAAGCTTCTTTGTGCTGTGCTTTAACCCGCTGCGCCACCAGGGAGGGCCCCCATGTCCTTTTAACCCAGATTCTACAACTATTACCATTTTACTGCATTTGCTTTGTCATTTACTCTTTCTGCACTCAAGAAAATTTCTTCTGAACCTTTGAATTTATTATACCCCTTCTTCTCTACATATTCAAGTGTACATTTTCCAAAATTAAGGGTATTCTTAGATATAACCAGCATACAGATCCTCTAAATCACTTCCTTTAGTTTATTTTATGTTTCCTTAGTTGTTGCAACAATATCTTAGCTTTTCCTTTCTGGTCTAGGATCAAATCTAGGAATATGTATTGCATTTATTTGAGCTATCCCTTCAGATACCTTCAACCTGAAATATTTACTCATTGTTTCCCTGTACTGCCTTTGTGAAGAAAAAAGTTAACATTGAAGACTTGACTGCTATCTCTTGAGAGGCCTGCTTATAAGATTAGCCCCTAGGATGACATCTGTGAACTTGCATTTCACCATAACTCTTAAGAACTGCTCAGTGTGCCTTAATGTTTGTTCAAACATTATAGATTATAATTTCCTTCTGGGACTCTAGAAGTTTAGTGTCTGTCTTACAGAGAGTACTTAGGCCATCCCTCAGTAAAAAATCTGGTACTTAATCTCTAATGAACTTCCCTGGTAGACAATATCTAATATGTGTTCTAACAGTGTATTTCTATAGTTACAAAGATGGGCTTGAACCTTTGCTACTTTCTAGTCTACAGAGATGAGTAGCTGTAGCACTCTTCACAATATAGTCCCTCAAAACCCCCTGCCTCCTTAGTGGTCTCTTAATGTAGAGGTATGTTCTATAATCTTCATGCCTCAGGGGGACTAATTACTTTGGAGAAATATCTTCTTTGGATTTTGGGGTATGCAGCTGCTAATGCATTTTTTTCCTTTTTGTCTTCCTTCACTCTGTTTGAACTTAAGCATATAAAAAGTTATTGCTTTGTCTTACGTTGTGATTCAGAGAAAGATGTCTCACGTTTATCAAAGATAGAGTATGCATTTTTGTTACTTGTTATTTTGGTATGATTTCTTAGAGGAAAAATGGGAGGTTTTAAAATTAAAAGTTTTCTGTAGTACGTCTTAAAGCTTATATTATTAGTGTTGAGTTAAGGTATTTGTATCGCTTGTAAAAATAGATGTTTTTATTTTGTTATATGGTGTATTTTGCATTTAGAAATTGAAAACACTGCCTTTTGTTTTTGAAGATTTTTATTTGTTTATGCATACAGAACTGAGGTACAGGCCAGAGGTGCAGGGGCAGTGAGAGGATTCACCAGAGACAGAGTGGGGAGCAGAACAGACAGATTGACAAAGTACACTGCTGAGGGGAGCAGTGGGCATTGTTAGTCGAGGTCTGCTATGCCATGTGGATCACCTCCAGGGCTGGGGATTGAACTCACATGAAGCAGCTGATGCTATCTTGCAGTGCTGCACCTTAACCCATTGCACCACCAAGGAGGGCCTGGCATTTCTTAACCTAGGGACAAAACATGGATGAATCCTTTTTTTCTTTAAATGAAGAGTGCTGACCATACATGATCTCTGTCTCCAAAATGATGAAACAAGAATAGGTTTAAGTCTTACTGAGGACTTCGTTTTATATTAGGAAGAGGCTCTTGACTGTGAAAATGATTTAAATAGTGGAACCTGATGCCAAATTGTACTAGAAAATCTGCTCCTGGCAGCCTTTAAGGTACACTACTGGACAGTCATCTATTTTACCTCCAGTTAGCTGTAAGATATCCTGCCAGAATGTTTATTCAGGTATTTCCTGTTTAGACTTAGAATTCAGATGTAAGTTGCTATCATTAAATAGAAAGCATCCTCATTTATCCTACCTTAAGATAATTTTCATTGTCTAAAATACCTTGTGAACTTTCTGTTCCCTAGAGTATGATCTGTGATGGTAATCCTCCTCTCTGTCCACACATAAAAGTATTTCCTGAATGAATACATGAAAAAAAGATAACTTCTTTTCCATTGTATTTTCCATTGTATTTTCTGTTGTCCCTTTGCTAGCCCCACTGATCTATGATTTTATCAGCCCAAACTCTGGGATAAAGTTGGAAAAAACAGTTGATTCACAGAGACAAGGGTGGCAGAGGTAACTTTTCAGAAACTAAAACACTAAATGTTAATTTAGTTCAGAGGTTTTTTTTTTTTTTAATGTTTTGGAGCTCAGTTGTACATTTCTTAAAAGTTTGATTGTGTATTTGTGTATAGCTCTGTTTTTTTTTTTTTTTTTTTTTTTTTTTTTTTGCTAATTTACAAGACTGTCTTCTCTGTTAGTCTATTCCCCTTGGAAGTTGGGAAAGTGTCTTTTATTTTGGTGTCCCTTGGTCTTGACACAGTATTTCTCACATGGTAGTTGCACATTAAATGCTTATTAGCCCAAAAGGATAGTATTCTGTTAACACCCACATCCTGTAGGCATCTTTATTTGGCTAGTGTTTTAATTCCCAGGTCTGGGTCATTTTTGTGTTATCAGTTTTCTTAAAAGCAATTTTAGTTCCTCAACCAAGTACATTAAAACATATATTATTCTCGTCATTCATCTCATTTTGGAGCTTCCGTGTGAGTCTCTGCCCTTAACTCAAAATTTAAAATCTGGGCCCTGCCTGGTGGTGTAGCAGGTTGGCGCTGCACTGTGAAGTTTAAGCCAAGCTGTGGATGCTTCAGTGTGAGTTCGACCCCCGCCCTGGAGGTGATCTACATGGCATTACAGACCTCGCTTGTCTTGCCCGCTGCTCTCCTCAGCGGTGTACTTTGTTGATCTGCCTATCCTGCTCCTCACTGTCTCTGGTGAATCCTCTTGCCACCTCTGCACCTCTGGCATACCCCATTTCTGTATGCATAAATAAATAAAATCCCCAAGTTAGAGAGAGTATGAAGAAATGTTTTATAAGACAGTTGGAAGTAAGCTACTTTTCTACTGTGGCAGTATATGATTCTAAAATATAAATCATATATGAAGGAAAACAGTGTAAGAAAATGAAATGTGAAGAGAACATTGAAACACAGTAAATAAATTTGATAAAATCTATTTAGTTAGGATTGTGATAAATATTAGAGAGGCAATTTAAAAGCATAAATTTAAATGCCAAAAGCAAAGAACCTTTATTTGGAGGAGTAGCTTGTTTAAAATTAGTACTGTAGGGCCTACCTGGTGGTGCAAGGGGTTAAGCATCAGCACTGTGAAACAGTCCATAGCTGTTGCAGCAAGTTTGTCCCCTGGCCAGGGAGGTGACCCACCTGGTGCAGCAGACCTTTTCTGTCTCACCTGCTGTTCCCCTCAGCACTGTATTTCAGTTAGTCAGCCTGTTCTGCTTCCCACTGTGACTGGTGAATCCTCTCATCTCCTGTACCTCTGGCCTAAACCCCAGTTCCTCTATGCATAAATAAATAAATTAAAAAAATAAAACAAGTTCTGTAAAAACAATCAACAAAATTGTATACATTCATAATATACATACATGTATTAATATATCTATATGTATATGGTATATGTATATTGGTAACCTGTGTGCTCTTTAATCTTTCCAATGGCAGATATGAATATCATTGGGCCGATGGAACAAACATAAAGAAGCCTATTAAGTGCTCTGCACCAAAGTATATTGATTACCTGATGACTTGGGTTCAAGACCAGTTGGATGATGAGACTTTGTTTCCATCAAAAATTGGTAAAATTGCTTTGTTTAATTGGAATCCATTATGATTTATCTAGTTTTGTGTTTCTATAGGATATCTATTCTGGCATCCATACTAGCTACTATGCCTATTAAGATGTTTCTAATTTTTTTTTTATTTAAAGATTTATTTGTGCTTACAGAACTGGAGTCCAGGCCAGGGGCTCAGGGGCAGTAATAGGCTTCACCGAAACAGAGTGGGGAGCAGAACAGGCAGATCGACGAAGTATACTGCTGAGGGGAGTAGCGGGAGGGTCAGGAGAGGTCTGCCACTCCATGTGGTCACCTCTGGGGCAGGCAGGAATCGAACTCATGCAGAAGTGGCTTTAGCTTCTCAGTGCTGTGTTTTAAGCCGCTGAGCCACCATAGGGAGGGCCAAGATGTTTCTAATCTTATTTAAAAGGATCCTAACTTTTTAATACTAAGTTTATTATGAACGTTAAGATTAACCTCCCTATACTTTTAAGCAGTAAGATCAGAGCATCTAGGATGATAACAAAATATGACCTGTGTTACGAAAAAGAATGGCTATTAGATAGGCAGCCATCATCATATGTCATAGTTATATCTATTTCTTGTCATTTTGTATGATTTAGGTCTATATTATAGACCTATAGTTAAGGAGTTTAAATTTATAACCACAATGTGAACTTTCCAGACTGAAATCAAGTTAGATAAGAAGAAAACAGCAAGAGTTAAGGGACTGGCATCTTACCAGCTGATTTTTATTACTTAAAGTTGTTTATAAGGGCTGACGTTTTTTTTTTTTTTTTTTTTTTTTTTTAAAGATTTATTTATTTATTCATACAGAACTGGAGGGTGAGAGGATTCACCAGAGACAGAGTGGGGAGCAGAACAGGCAGATCAACGAAGTACACTGCTGAGGGGAGCAGTGGGCGGGTCAGGAGAGGTCTGCCACGCCATGTGGTCACCTCCGGGGCAGGCGGGGATCGAACTCATGCGAAAGTGGCTTAAGCTTCTTAGTGCAGTGCTTTAACCCGCTGCGCCACCAGGGAGGGCCCAGGGCTGACGTTTTTTAGTGGAAATTGTTTGTATCTGGACAATTTATATGATTTTACTTTCTCAGAGTTCTTACAAATGTGTTTCCTGAAAAAGTGATTTTTTTTTTTGTTTTTCCTCTAACAACAAATAGCTTTTTGAGTAAATTTTAGTTTTTGGAAGAAGGATATAAGGAGAAGACCTCACTTGTAGATAGTTGTTTTAAACATATTTATTACATGCTTTACTTTGAAGCATTTTTTTTAAAAGATATATTTATTTATGCATGCAGAACTGGGGTACAGGCCAGAGGTGCAGGGGTGGTGAGAGGATTCACCAGAGACAAAGTGGGAAGCAGAACAGGCAGATGGATGAAGTACACTGCTGAGGGGAGCAGATGGCAGGTCAGGAGAGGTCTGCCACGCCATGTGGGTCACCTCTGGGACGGGGATTGAATTCATGCTGAAGTGGCTTTAGCTGCTTAGTGCTGTGCTTTAACCCGCTGTGCCACCAGGGAGGGCCTGAAGCATTTTTTGGTAAAGATTTATTTTTATTTGTTTATGCATAGAAGAATTGAGGTTTAGACCAGACATGTGGGGTGTCTGGCATTGGGGGTGGGAGGATGAGAGGATGAGAGGATTGACAGAGATAAGAGTGGAGAGCAAAAAAGGCAGATCTGCTGAAAGACACTGCTGAGGGGAGCAGTGGGCAAGACAGGAGAGGTAGGGTTGAATTGATGCTGTAGTGGTGCAGATAGCTTGATAGAGCTGAGACTTTAACCACTGCACCACCAAGGGAGGCCCCCTTTGAAACTTTTCTAATAAAAGGTTTGTTTTTCAGGATTACATTATTTATGTAAATATTGGATTGTAGGAAAAAGTCATGATATATTTTTTTTGTTTGAAAAACAAAATATAAATCATGACTTTTCCCAACAACACAGATATAATGGTTTGAATAAATGCCCTCACTTACCTTTATCACCCATAACATTACTTTTTTTTTCAAATATAAGTTTGATGATGATATATCTCTTAAATCCCCTTTTTCTTCCTTGCCTCCCCTTAACTTCATAGCTCTTACAGTGTTTATTAATGTCCTTTAGTTTTTACATTTTATTTTATCAAATCATCTGCTATGTAAGTGTCCAGTATTTGTTTTTAATCATTCTGCTGACTTTCTTTGCTATATGTAGTTCTCTGAAACTCCTTCCAGTTTGCTGAGAATGGCTGCATTTCATCCTTATTTATGATTGAATAGTTTTCTGGTAATGTGGGTATACCACATCTTCTTCATCCAGTTAACTGTTGCTGAACACAGAGGCTGCTTCCATGTCCTGGCTACTATAATAATGCTACTATGATGATTGCAGAGTACATAGATATTTGTGGTGATGGTTTTATACTCTTTAGGTGATGTCCTATAGTGGGATTGCTATGTTATTTCCATTTTTAATTGTTTAAGGTAAATCAACGTTGCTTTCTATAATATTTGTACCAGTTTACATTCCCACTAACAGTGCAACAGGGGTGCTCTTTCTCCACATCCTTTCTAATACCTGTTTTTGGAGTCTTTTTAACTTGGAAGAGATGTAAACATTTCTTCATGTCTATTAGCCTCCTGAATGTCCTCTTTGGAGAGTTGTCTGTTCATATCTGACAGTTATTAATTGGGCTTGTTTTTTAATTGTTTTTATATCTTAGATATTAACCTTTTATCAGTTATACATTGTGTGAATATTTTCTATCAGTCAGTAGGATGCCTTTTTAATCTTATGTTTTCATTTACCATGTGAAACATTTTTAAATTTAGGGTAACTGTTTATTTTTGTTTTTATTTCCCTTGCTGTAGGGGGTCAAGTCTTGAAAAAAATCTTATTATTGGTTGATGTCATAGAATATACTTGCTGATGTTTTCTGCAATATATTTTATGTTGTAATTGTTTTTTAAGAGATTTATGTATGTACATAAGACTTGGGGTGTAAAAAGTCTGGGGGGTGAAAGGGAGCAGAACAGGCAGATCTACTGAAATACACTGCTGAAGGGGAGTAGCAGGCAAGACAGGGGAGGTTTGCTGTGCCATGTGGGTCAGCTCTCTGGCTGACTGAGCAGAAACAATAGCTAATTTTTAGGATAAATGTAGTCTTAGAGTAGTAGTAAAGTAATTAATGTTTTGCAAGCATTTTAAATAAAACTGCATATGATTTAATGCATTATTTGTAGCTAGCAAATCTTTGAAGCTTGATTACGAAATTGGGGGATTTAAATATAAGTTTTAGCTCTGCTAGCTTTGGCATGATTTGCTTCATTTTAGTAGTGGCCTATCAGTGGCATAAAGGGCTATAATGAAGACCAGTTCTATTCGATAGACACTTTAAAGTTTATTATTATTCTGAAGAGAATTTCTGATAAGTGCAGTAAATATATTAAGTAGTAATTCGTAAGTACTTTTCAGCCTTGTCTTGGTATTGGAAGCTGCCATTTATCAGCGAACGGTTTTTGCCTTGTTCCCTTTTCTTGTTGATAGTAAAGGTTGTTTTTCTTTTTACCAGGTGTCCCATTCCCAAAGAATTTCATGTCTGTGGCAAAAACTATACTCAAACGCCTCTTTAGGGTTTATGCTCACATTTATCATCAGCATTTTGATCCTGTGATTCAGCTTCAGGAGGAAGCACACCTCAACACATCTTTCAAGCACTTTATATTTTTTGTCCAGGTAAGTTGGATTGGAGTTCTTTTTTGCTTAGTAAAAGTAATTATCCAAAGAGTTCCGAGGTAAATGTCACATCCATACTGTCAGGATAAGATTTGCTTTCTATTTTTTTCTTTTTTCATACTTACTGTGATGATAAGGACTAAGCTTTTATTTCTGAATTCCATTCATCTCCATGCTGGTAAAATAAAAATATGAAATCTGTGACAGGTCTTGTTTTAGATTAGCTTCAGTTAACAGGCTATAATGGAGTGACTGAAGGCAAAACCTGGCTAGTTTGCTAGCTCTGTAGGTGAATTTAGCAGTTTAGCGCTCCTCCTATTTAATTCATGTCTACCCTGGATCTTTTGTTTTATCATACTCTGGCATGGAAATGGGCTTTGTATACCTTTCTGACATGCCCTTCTTTTAAAAATCATGTTCTGAATAATTGTTTAGTTAAGGGTTGTCCATTATTTCTAAAGGGGAGAAAAGTGTCTTAGAAGAGTGTTGTTATTCCAGAGCTCTATTAGTCTTCTGATTTCTTAGTTGACCTCCTCTTCACTCTCTAATCCTAACAGATATAGGCTAAGAGGAATGAGCTTATTTTTTTTCTTGCTATATAATAATTGGAGACATAACAAGCAAGATTGAAAATGAGGTGGAACAGATAAGCTGATCAACTTTTGGGGGGGGAAGTAGATAGAGATTGGGGCAATGGTAGGCAGGGGAAATAAAAGGGTTGAATCTGTTTTTTTTTTTTTTTTTTTTTTTTTTGTTTTTGTTGTTTGTTTGTTTGTTTTTACCAAACAGTGGGTGTTCACTTTCACTCTGGCAGAAGCACAGCTACACTGTGATGTGTGTGTGTGCTGAGCTGTGTACAGCATCTCTGTGACCCCAGGCAGTCTG